AAGAGCCAAGAAAACTGTAGGGACTTGTAGATGTCACTGGGAAAGAGTGAAGGAAGCTTGTCCTGATGATGGATTGCTTGTAATTAGCCATACTGAAGACTGTAATCTTAAATGGTTTGATCTGCTCAGAGGATAAACTGAACCAGTATGCTCACATAGTTGAGTTAATCTTGTTATGCACTGGGATTTGTTATGAGTGTCATTCACCTCTAAAACTTGTTAGTCCCATGCAAACAAATGGCAATGGAGTGGGAAGGCTTACAACTATTCACTCTTGGGGCAGTCACTGAGCTCCCACTGGGCCGGTGTGAATATGTAACACTGACCTGTCTTGAGGAAACCCCTCTCATCCAGGTATAAGGCAGGAGACTTTGCTTGCTAGCTCTGTTTCAAGCCTGGTACCAGCTCTACAGCTTTCTGCTATTTTCCTCACTACCTTCACAGCCCTCTCCACCATCGCCCTGGCCAGCTGTGACTCAGGCTGGTCAATCCTCCTCCAGCCTTGGGACAGCAGACACTGGGAAAAACGGTCTGCCTCCTTGGTGCTTTATGAGCAACCTGTGAGGAAGTCCAGAGGAAAGTAAGAGCAAGTGCTGTGGTGAATGAAGGCAGTCAGGCTGCTCCGGAGGTGGCTGGCCCTCGGTAATATGGGCACTTGCCCGGCCAAAGCCCTTGGCCAGGAGATGAGCGCTCTCTCCACAAGCAGGCCCTACAAGTAACGCCGGTGAGGCAGAGTTAACGACTCTTGCCGAGGGCCTGGGGCCAGTATGTCGGAGACAAGGCCTTAGGGGAGCTGCAGTCCCCAGAGCTGCCCTCACCGTCCCAACCGCCCCAGCTGCACGGGGAGCTTTTCTCCAGGCAGACCCGGAGCCACAGACGACCACTGCATCTTCTGTCTTCTCACGGTCCACAGAGCTCCTTGCATCGCGGGCAGAGCTGGAGGTGCATCTCGCAGCTCGGTCCCTTGTATCTCCCGGGCAGGATCTTCACTCCCTGCAGACAGCCCAGGCGGAGCTGTGTGAGGTGAGTCTCTGCCTCCCGCAGTGCCCGAGCACAGCTGGCGGGGCCCTGAGGAGAGCCCCCGCCCCCGAGCGGAGGCAGGGCTTTCCCTGCTGCGAGTGGCAGGTGGGATCACACTGCGTGTGGGGAAGAGGACTCGGGAGGAGAGACCGTCAACCCCTCAGGATTAATTATTAACATCACAGGCCTAAGAACTGTGTAAAAAAACCTTGCATCTGAATCAGGAAAGAATAATATACATCCCTTGTCTATTAAAACTACATGTTGTTAAACTATTTTAAAAAAGGTGACAAGATGGTGATAATTTCTGTTCTGTTAGGAACTGGAAATGTTTTTGGCAATTATTAATCAGAAGAAAAAAAATAGTTCTGTAAAATTTAATAAGAGCAAGGTGCTCATTTGCTATGGTGAGAACGACGATAAAATAACCTGTTGAAATGAAAAGATAAACCAAAAGATGGTATATAAAAAACCAAAACAAAACAAAACCCAAAGCCCATTTTCTTTTATAAATAGAAAAAAAGCAAAAATCAGATACTCAAAAAGGGAATGAGAAGGCCTTCTAAATGCTACATTCAGAATTCAAGTTGTGTATAGCCACCTTGGGTGTGATACACGGATTTAAAGGAGATTTAACATTACAGTCAAACTAATCACTTGAATAACAATTGCATAACGATTCAGCGAAACTCACTGAAGTTATAATGACACAATGGCAAGAATACAGTTCAAAGAAATGCGGATCTGCATTTGCATTCCGGTTCTCAAATTAGATCTGTACAGGTAGAAGGAGCTGATCCCCTTCTGCATAGTCACAATTTATATTTAGGCATGTGGCATAATTGGTTATGTAGACCAAGGCGATATGTGGCTTTGTGTTGAACAGGTTCTGTGGTTTAACTGCTGCTTATGTATTGGGAACCTGAGTTTTCAAGCTATTGTTCATTTTCCTTATGAGAAAGGTTTAAATTTATGGGATTTTTTTTACCTTTAATCCACCATTTAAAACTCTATATGGGTGGGACTGCTTACATGTT